TCTGATTTAGATATGCCCGAATTGCCCGAAATTTGGCATAGATTACTGAATAAGGTCCAGAAGGGTGTGTGCTAAGTTTCGTGAAAATCGGTTCAGATTTAGATATAGCTCCCATATATAGTTTCGTCCGATTTTAGGTAAATGCGGCACCAAAGTCCCTATATATATTTCGATTTGCATGAAATTTGGTTTAGGGTACTGAATTCATACCCTTCACCCCAAAGTGATGAAGGTCGGCCCAGTCCGACTATACTAATTTCCTTACTGGTTTTAAAAGGAATTTAGTTATCATTTGTCAATCTATGGAAAAAATAAAATTCCTCCCACATGCGGCTTTTCTTGAGAAAATATCTCTTAGGATTATATTTCATATATAGAATTACAAAAAAAAAAAGACAAATGCATTTTTCTCTCATAGTTAATTTTAGTTTCCCCATTTTCTTTAAGTGTATAACCTCTCCCAAAAAAACACTTATTTCTTTAAGTGTAACATATATGGCCTATCCCGATAAGGTTAAGACAAACAATTGTCGTAACTCCCACATTTAGCCTTTAGTCTTTTAAAGGCTTCGGAAATAAATGCAGGTTTACACAAAGTGTATTTGTGTGTGTGTTTGTGTGAGAAAGAATGAGCGAAGGACAAAGCAAAGATTGGTGTCAATTAGTTGTAAAAAGAACAAATAAAAAAGTAAATTTAACTAATATACATAAATATATTTATGTCTGTAGTTGTGTATGTTTAAATATAAGTCCTGATATGTTTTGTGCCCCCCTCCTCAGCCATTACAATCTATAAAAGACTAAAATATATCTTGTTCTCTTTTTGAAAAACAAAAACAAGAACAAATAATTTTAATCCAAAATAATATTAAAAATAAAAATCCGTAAAGACTCAAGTGTTTCATGTTTCCTCTACATTAAATCGAAAACAAATATTTCAAAACAAAAATATTCATCTCCTATTTCCAAATCAATTTTCTTTTTCTATAATTGTAGTTAACCTTTTAAAACTTCAAAAAAAAAAAACAAATTAGCAATAGAATTGAAATACAATAGAAAATAATCGAATAAAAATAACAAATAAATCGAAACCTAAAACACCACAACAACCAAAGTAGATTCCATAGGAAAATTATAACCAAACACCATAACCACCAACGACATAAAATATAAAAACAACAACAAAATAATAATTAAATCGAAAAAAAAAAATTAGAAAAAATAAAAAATACGTCCAGTTCCAAACTACTTTAGCACGTTTGCAAATTGAATGAATAAAAAATACCAAAGATTAACGACAAAAACAAAACAGTTTTTTTTAACAAATACACCCTTAAACTATATGGAAAATAAAAAAAAAACATTCATAGAAAAACATGTACGTAAAATATATAAAAAATATATATATTAACATGCTTTTTATTAATTATAATAAAATGCGTAAAAAACACGCACTACAAAAAACCCCAAAAACCAAATGCAAGGAATTTCAAGGTTTATTTCTGAGAAAATCAAAAAAATTAAAAACAAAAAAGAGAGAGCGAGAGCATACAACCAATTCATCTAGTCATTAAAAATATTACAACAAAATATTAAAAAAAAAAGATGTTACAAAAAAAAATCACATCCGAAAAAAATATATTGTCAACTCAACAAATATAAACAACAAAAAAAAAAGAAATAGAAAAAAATGGAAAATATGGAGATTAAAAACAAAACCATTACATTTGTGATTTGATTTCAAAAGGGATTCTGCCAAAGGTAAGTCTCATTTCCAGATTCGAAGTTTTTTCTATGGAAAAAATCAGTTAATTAAAGATTTTTTGTAGAAAAAATATAACATTGTAGATATAAATACGAGGGTAGATCAAAAAATCTGGTGAGATGTGATTTTTTCAAAACAAATCCCCAGACAACGGTGATAATTTTTTTCATAGTAAAAAATCTTAAGGTTTTTATAGAAAACCAGTGAAAGTTCAAAAGTCGTACGGGGTCGACTATATGATACCCTTCACCACTTTGGGCACATACAAGGGATGCTAAATTTTGGTCTAATTCAGCATGCTGTGCGAAATGTTTGTACCAATCGGGCTAAATTTGACTTTTTGGTGCTTAATTTGCATAAAGTAGGGCTAAATTATATATGGGAGCTATATCTAAATCTGAACCGATTTCAACAAAACTTGGCATGTACCAATCTAGACCTAATTCAGTACTCTGTGTAAAATTTTGTATCAATCGGACCAATATTGACAGTATGGTGCTCCATTTGCATAAAATCCGAATATGGAAGCTATATCTAAATCTGAACCGATTTCAACAAAACTTGGCATATATCAATCTTGACCCAATACAGTACTCTGTGAAAAATGTTGTCTCAATTGGACCAATATTGGCAGTATGGTGCTCCATTTGCATAAAATCGGACGAAACTATATATGGGAGATATATCTAAATCTGAATCGATTTCAACAAACCTTCGCATACATCAATGTGGACCTAATTCAGTACTCTGTTTTGTCTCAATCGGACCAATATTGGCAGTATGGTGCTCTATTTACATAAAATCGGACGAAACTATATAAGGGAGCTATATCTAAATCTGAACCGATTTCAACAAAACTTGGCATATATCAATCTAGGTCTAATTCAGTACTCTGTGCAAAATTTTGTCTCAATCGGACCAATTTTGGGAGTTTGGTGCACCATTTACATAAAATCAGACGAAACTATATATGGAAGCTATATCTAAATCTGAACCAATTTTCATCAATTTCAATAAGGTTCGTCCTTGGGCCAAATAAGTGACTTGTGCCAAATTTCATTTAAATCGGATTATAAATGCGGCCTGTACTTTGTTCACAAAAATACTTGGTTGGACGGACATGCATTAATCGACTCAGAAAGTGATTCTATGCATATACTCAAAAGGAACCATGGGTCTATCTCGATTCCTTTTGCCTATTACAAACATATGCACAAATACATAATACCCTGTACCACAGTGTGGTGAAGGGTATAAAAAAAATCGCCAGGACACTTGAGGAAGACTTCTTTTTATAGGAAAAAATATCACGACACCTCAGGATTTTTTTTTTCTATAGAAGAAAAAAGTATTTCTTTTGGAAAAAACATTTCACAGACCCAAGACAGATTTGTTCAGCAAACGTCATCCTTTGGGTCATCCTTTTCGAATCATGTTTTTCCGGAATAAAAATATTCCGAGCTCCCATAATATTCAAATTTTCCAGACAGCGGAGCAATATAGTCGGACGGGGCCGACCATATGATACCCTACACAAATACCACTGAGCTCTAAGTTTCTGCGGATCTATATTCCGTGCCTATATTTTTCGAGATATTTGTTCTCTCTTGACCGATTAGAGGTCAACAGCTCCTCTGCGACATCCTTTCCGAATCATGCTTTCTCGGAATAAAAATATTCCGAGCCCCCATAACATTCAAATTTTCAATACAAATACCATCTGATCATCATCGAAAGTTATAGGCGTCATCCTTGTCCATAACCGGAACCTCATGCAAAATTCTCTAATCATCAGATCGAAATGTAATGGCAATGATTTTACTAAACAATATCAGTATACGAAGACACCTGTAAATTTTTACGCATAATGCCCATATCCAACGACATACCTCAATATATTTGGTATTAATTTAAAGGTTAACCACTCCTCGTGGATATACTATGAACTTCTCGGGTCTATGCCCTTTAGGAGTACATATACATATATACTCCCAGAATACAAATTTTGTCATTTTTCACAAAAATGTCTGGGTCTATTCCACCCGCTAAATATTAACCGATCTTTATCAAAACCGTCATGCTTATTCTTTGGTCAGATTCTGTTCCAGGTGTACAATGACGATTGGTCCGTAACTGTGGCCTATATAATGGACAGACAGACGGACGGACACACATGTCTAGATCGGCTCAGCTAGCCCAGATATGACGATCGGTATACTTAAAGGTGGGTCTATGACCAATATTTCGCGGCGTTACAAACTCTTGGGGCTGCACAAAGCTATAATACCCTGACAACAGTTTTTTTTTTTTAGAAAATTATTACATTGAGGATAATTTTTCGATAGACACGATAAATCATTCAAAGTATGAAGAAGAAGTAGATATGTAATATCCGGAACTGCTGCCTAGCCTGAGGAAGTTTTTTAAGAAAGCTTTCCTCAATCCTGGACATTCATTCATACCAAAAATCGATCGGTACCTTTATATGGGTACTATTTCGTGGTAAGAAACCGAAATGTTCAATTAAATCAATTTCGGTTAGGAACTGGCATTGTATTATTGTCCAATATACCCCATATTCAGTACCAAATAGCAATAATTTCCCGATTTTCTCTTTAAGAATACCATTATCAGTTTTTTATTTTCATTATGTTATAATGAAAGCAAATAAAAACGTAGTTAAGTTCGGCAAGGCCAAACTAGGACCGAAATTTAAGCGTTATCATTATATAAGAGCTATTACAAACACGACCCTATATTAAAACTTTTCTAGGAAGAAGTTTTCTATTCACTAGGAATCCGTAATGCCAAATTTCAGCAAAATCAATGACAAAATGCAGTAAATACCTTTAAAATAACGGCCAAATATAATTAATTTTTTAACGGTTTATGTTTTTATTCTGTGAATAAAATTCACAATAATGTACTTTGACAACAAACTTGAGAAACAGCTGATCATACTGTGTGAACGTTAGTAAAAGGCATTGGTTCCCATTGTTCCATTCTCTGAACAATACCTTTGAACTATACAGCAGCAGTTAGCAAAAATCAATAAAAACAGCAAACTTACGGGTGTGGATCGGAATTTTTTACCCAATTAATACAAGACAAATAAAATATGTTTCAACGCAATTTAATATAATTTAATATACAAATATATATAAAAAGAATATTAACAAATTGAATTGCATAACTAAAAGTAAATTTTAAGAAGTGAAAATTGAAAAACCCCTCAACAATGTCCAATACAAAGGTGCAATTACGTATGCCACAGCAGGACCTGAAATGTAGGAATGGTTGTGGCTATTATGGTTACTATCAATTTGAAGGTTTATGTTCCAAATGTTTTCGTGAACGCAACGACCAAAGGAAGAAATGTAAGTGGCTACCATTTATTTTACATAAAACTCCTTAGTTTGATTTTTGTTAATTGTGTTACAGTGGATCAAGCGCGAACCGCATCCACGGTAGCGGCATCAACCACATCAAGTGGTCAACGACATCATGATGCAGTTGCATCGGTTTCACCCAGACATCAATCACAACAAAAAGCCGTGGCAGGCAGCCATCATCAGAAAAAAACCGAAACCCCGGTTGAAAATATTAGCAATACCCTGACTAAAAAGAAATCATTGGTGCCATCCCTGGTTAAATCGTTGACACTACAACCCAGTAGTCAATCGTTGAAGAAACAATCACGACAACAACAACATCAGCAGCAGCAACGAAGTAAGTATTCAAAAAGGGCTATGTACTACATAGTTCGAATGGGTGTGTGCGAGGTGTCTGTACAACGAACACAAATATTGAAGAATATATAGGCAGTCATATTTTATCAATAATTGCCAGTTACCAAAGAGAACCCATAATTTCTTCTTGTAATCAGAAAATAAAAGCAATAAGGCATAAAAAACAAGAACAACGGCCATAAAACACGGAAATGATGCCACTTGGCACTGGCAATACAAACAATGTGTGCCATGATAGCACTTCGTGAGTGAAGAGCTAAAATTATGACTGGATACATGAATGAAATTCATTCATAAGAATTTTAAATTCTGTCGGCATTAAAAGAACTCAAATTATGCTGCAAAAATTTCTTAGAAATATTAGTCACTTTCTTTATTACATATTGTAAGCATGTAATTAAATGGGTTGAGAAAGACATTTCCATTTAAAAGAATATTTGTTAAAGAATATTTTTAAGGGCCATAATCATGAGTGGATTTTTTAGAGAATATTTTTTTCAAGGACCAACACGAGGCGCGGGATTTTTAAAGAGTATTTTTTCAAGGCTCAACAGAAGCGTGGATTTTTTCAAGATTCTTCTTCAAAGCCCAACAGAGGCGTGGATTTTTTTAAGATTTTTCATCAAGGCCCAGCAAAGGCGTGAATTTTTTAAATATTTGTCGTCAAGGCCCAACAGAGGCAACAGCTCAACAGAGGCGTAGATTTTTTAAACGATTTTTCTTCAAGGCCCAACAGAGGCGTGGATTTTTTAAACGATTCTTCTTCAAGGCCCAACAGAGGCGTGGATTTTTTTTAAAGATTTTTCTTCAAGACCTAACAGCGGCGTGGATCTTTTAAAGATTCTTTTTCAAGGCCTAACAGCGGCGTGGATCTTTTAAAGATTCTTCTTCAAGGCCTAACAGCGTCGTGGATTTTTTTTAAGATTTTTCTTCCAAATTTTTTTAGTTTTTTTGCCTGATCAACACTCTGTCGTTCTTTATTGTTTTAGACAGTGAAGTTTTGAAATAAAATTCTACAATTTTTTTTTTTTGGTTTATCTTCAAATTATTAAAAATTATGCCTTTTTATGATTTACTAAAAAATGTCCTTTTATATAATAGGTCACCATCATCACAAAGATTATGTTCCTGATCCAACAGAAGCTCAATTCATTTTAAAATTACGTCAATTGCGTATACCCGACGATGGGAGAGCTAAATTAAAAAATGAAATACAACGTCTCGACTATGATATACGTTCATATCTGCAGGGTAACAATACCAAAAACATTGATGAACTCTCGGAATTGGTACAAAATGCCTACAGTAAATTTTCCGATTTGGTACACAATGATGCCAGTTTTCAAATTGCCACCAATGAAGATCGTGAAATGGCCATTGATTTTTTCGAAAAGGTCGTAATGACAAAAAATCACAAGTAAGTCGAATGACTTTTTTTTTGAAAATTTTAAATGTAGTAATTATAATTATAATCTTTGTTTGGTTTTCGAATAGATTCCTTTTTAGTCCATATTTTACCACGGACGAAGAAAACGATGTTAAAGTACAAAAACGTATTAGGCAACTAAGTTGGATAACAGCTAAGCACTTGGCCTGTTGCATTGATGAAGTAAATGCTGAATCAAGGGAATTGGTTTATAATGCTATTACAGGTAAGTAATACGGATATTCATTATAAAATGTGTTTTAAAAGAAATCATATTGAAAGGAAAAATCATACTTTTTCCTTTTGATGTTATTAATTATTGTTTGATGTTATTAATTATAATAAAAATATATTTTTATTTTATTGTTTATTTTTATGTTTTATTTTATTCTTTGTTTCCAGAACTTGTTGGCATCGATTCATTTTACTCTCCTCAAGAGAAACTCGAATGTACGGTGCGTTGTTGTCGTCACATTTTCGAATTGCTCAAACATTCAGTGGGCGGACCAGCAAGTGCCGATGAATTTCTACCAGCTTTAATTTTTGTAGTTCTTAAGGCTAATCCCGTACGATTGCATAGCAATATTAATTTTGTGACACGTTTTACAAATGCCTCACGTTTGATGAGCGGTGAAGGTGGTTATTATTTTACAAATTTGGTAAATATCTACATAATATTTTCGTTGTAACAATGATTAATTTCTCCTTTTAATTCCAGTGTTGTGCCATTTCATTTATTGAAAATCTAACAGCTCAAAGTTTAAGCATGGATCAGGAAGAATTCGATATGTTAATGTCCGGTTCGAAACCATATAGTACACCGTGGGAAAGCGCTTTAATGGCTTGTGAAAGTTTACATTTAATATCGGAAAATATGAAACGTATGGAAATGTTAAATACCCGTAATCAGAATATTAGCAAGGGCATTGCGCAATTTAATGAGGATTTAAAGGAGTTTAAGGTGAATATGGAAATTCAAGCTATAATTAGTAGCTATAAAATTATAGGTCCTTGAAAAAATATTCTTTGAAAATCCTTGCCATGGCTAAATTTTTAAAGAATAATTTTTCAAGAACAAATTTAGTTGTTGTTGTAGCAGCCCTATTGCTTTTACAAACAAATTTAGTCGTTTATTTTATTGAAGAATATTTTTGAAGAACCAATACAAGGATGGATTTTTTTAAATGTGTTTTCAATGGCCTATACATTCGTGGCTTTTTTAAGAATATTTTTCAAGGACCAATACAGAAGTGAATTTTTTAAAGAATGCCATTTACGGCCAAATAAAGTACCAAGCCCTGATGAGTCATAGAAAAATATTAAAAAAAAACACGTATTGATAAGTCTTTGAAATTTTTATAAATTTAATTATTAGCTACTACAAAATATTTGTTAGAAAATCTACACCTTTTTTATTCCAAGTCCCATAAATCCTTAAGAATATGGTTTTTTAATCCAAGACTCAATCTAAAATGTTTTCTTCTCCCCCTTTTCCAGCTTGAAATTACCAGCAAAGTTGAAGCGGTACTGGCCAAAGCTCCACTAACAATTTTGGATATAAAAACCCCAGAATTTTTAATACCCAAAGCAAGAGCCCATTTGGAAAAGGACCAAGAACAATTACAACAAATTGCCCGAGTTTTAGGTGGCCATTATCAACACAATTTAATATCCGCCATAGATTCGAATAACAAATATTCGGCAACTACGACATCCTTACACGAAGCAAAGCAATTAAATCCAAAAGTATTGCCTTTGCCACTGACACCACAACGTGTGGAACCGAATTCTTCTCCCAAAAAGGGAATTTCCAGCGATGATAGCTTCCTGCAGACATCGACACAAAGTCATTATTTAAGTGCCACAGATAAGAGTATGGCAAAAATGCCCGGTCGTCTATCGCCACTACCACCACCCGTAATGTCTAATCAATCGAATAATGATCTTCTATTTGCCTCTCCCATATTCAATTACACCCCATTTGATGACCGGTCACATTTAATGCCCGATGATTTATTATTAACTACAGATGATTTATTATTAACTGCAGAATTTCGTGGTGGTCTTACAAATATCAATTATGATTTTGATCTTTCGGATAATAGTAATGATAATAGCACAGCGGAAGATGTTAAAATTAATTTGGCCGAATTTGATCCATTGGCTGCAAGTGAGGCGGCAGCAACAACAGCGGCGACAACATTGGCATCTTTTAATGAACGACCCAATTGTCTGACATCAACACCACGTTTTCCAGCTGCAACCGCATTTCCACAACCAAACAACATGGAACAGCAACGTATTAAACATGAAATATCAATAAATCTGGCAGATACACCAAGTCTCCTAGATGATTCACCGGCCAATGAATCACGTTTACCATCACCGTTAAAACCCATGGTTACAGATTATCGTGGGTTCTCTTCATTTGAAATACCATCTATATCATGTAACACTGGCGACTTTAGTTCACTCAATCATAGTGTTAATGATAATAATGCCGATAATGTAGAATCATCATTGGAAAACAAGCAGAAATAGCCATTGCTGATAATAGCATAGGTTTTGATTCCATTTTTTGTTACCCATTGCAAAGACTTTGTATTTTGAAAATGTATATTATTTGGTATGTTACCGTACTGCAAGAATCTACTAATTTTTACTACGATACTTCTTTCCTTTATGATATCGAACAAAATAGTAAAAACTAGTAGATTCTTGCTATACGGGAACACACCTATTTTTTTTAATTTTAGTTTATTATGGTGTTGAACGAGATTGATTTTTGTACGAATTGTATGTTTGTAATTTATAATTATTTTAGTTTGCAAATCAAATGTGTTGTTTTCGTTTTTGTAAAAAAGAAATGGATAAATATTTAACCTAAGCATGAAATATAACGACATATTACCTAAAAAAATATATAACTAAATATAAATATTGGATGTTTTGATTTGTAGATTCCCGCGTAAACTTGCCCCGGTGCTGTCATCTCGTTTTTTTAAATAAAATTCAGACACTACTTATTGGTCTTCGGAACTTCAATTATGATCGTAACAACATATACCAATGTCTCTAGAATTACAGACTTTCCCAAAATATAAAATATACCGCCTGTGATCAGGGCATTTTTGCACTATCGTCTTGATCCCAACATTGGTATCTATCTTTAGAAATTTTTAATAGCAGTTGGTATGTTCCCGTACAGTAAGAATCTACTAGATTTTACATTTTTAGATAGCATAAAGGAAATTTGTTTTCTTATACTTGCCATATACTTGCCGTTAGAATTATTTACGGAACTTCAAATCCATTGATCCTTATTATTAGGAAATATATCCAAAATATTAAAAAATGGTCTTCAAATTTTATGAAAAATCACATTACTTTTAATTTTATCTTCATTTCCAAAATATAAATGATTCGTCTGGGTAAAATAAAAACAGTGGGGTACATATTCGGTAGGGGGTTGTTAAACATTTTCTGCTTCACGTTGCATACGCAGATCCTCACGATGTTTATGGGTTATTTCTAAAAATTTTAAATATTCCATGTCAATATCATTATCATCGCCATCATTAGTAGCATCATTCAAATTATGATTATTATCCACATCTTGAGATCCTTCATCATCCATCTCATCTTCAGAGGATGACGATGTTTCATATTCGCCAGCATACAATTCCAACAATGTAGCTTCATCGTCATTTGTCGTTGCTGCATCATTCCAATCACCAATAAGAAGAGTTCCCTGCTCCCAGTGCCGACGTTGTTCAGTGTGATATTGCAGAGCCGTACAATAGGTTCGCCACCACAATTTCATACTTTCCGTATAGGCATTTAGACAATTTGTGGCATTTTGTAAATTTCGTTGCGTCTTCAAGGTGGTATTATTGGAAAAGTTGTGGAAGGACGAGGAGGTGGTTTGATTCTGTTTGTGCTTGCAATGGCAGTTGTTGTTATTGGCGGCAGCTGTCTGTTTCTTTTGATTGTCAAACTTTTGTGCATTTTTACGTTTATCTTCTCGTTCTTTTTTTCTTCGTTTCTGATACATCTTTTTGCGGGATAGGGATTTCATTCAAATTAGTTGGTTTAATTAATTAATTTATAAACAAAACAGAACATGAATATTGTGACACACGATGGACGACAAGGCAAAACAATAACAACGCTGCACTTCTCACAAGTGTGCATTAGGAGAGTGTTGTCAACTTTGGTAACGCAATAAAAACGCTAAAAGTGATTTTGTAAGTGTTTCCCAAACGGGGAGACACATACGAGAATTGCCATACCAAAACGTGAATCTACGAAGTTTTACTGCGTCATATCGTGTTAATGCCTCAATGCCGTAGAAAATAAGTGTGGATTCGGAATATCAAATTACATGTACATCAGAACTAGTACTACTAAAAATGCATAAATTGATGCGGAGTCTTAGGTTAAGTTACACGATGTATGAGTGCTAGAAATTCAAGGGCAGCTCCACTTGTCAATTGTATTTATTCGAATATCTAAAAAGAAAACATAAAATGGAAGAGATGAGGTAGGACAGTAACTAACCAATGAGCAGAGCAGTATAGTCGGACAGGGCCGACCATATGATACCCTACACAACTACCATGGAACTCTAACTTTGGGTGGTTTTTTATTCCGAGCCTGGGCAATATTTCGTGATAGTTGCACCCTCTTCCCGATTAGAGGTCAACAGCACCACTTAGTTACACTGACATATTTTCCGAATATAACTAATATTTAGTACAGTCCTTCTTATTATATGTTCATACTCCCTTCACCGTGGGTTGTGTTGTGATGTTCGGCTTATAATTGTGGTCTATAGATCGACTCATATAAAAACAAAAAATTTCGGTCCGCTTCATCCCAAAATTAGTATCTGATCATCATCGAAAATTATGGGCGTTGTTCTTGACCATAGCGGGAACCTCATGGAACATTTCAAAACGATCACCGTTATATTTCCGCACTGCAGTGTGGTAATGGTTCTCCTGAAGATATTTACGCGTAACTCCCACATCCGAGTACATATGACAATATAATTGGTATACATTTAAAGGCCAATCAGGGGTAAATATATCCGCTATAGAATACAAATTTTGTCATTTTTCACACAAAAGTCAGGGTACATTTGTTCCGCTAAATATTGACCGATCTTTATGAAAACAGACATGCTTATTCTTTGGCCCGAACCCCTTCTCCATGTAAATTTTCGCGATGTTCGGACCATAATTGCGGCCTCTAGAGCGATCAGAAAACCCGACAAAAATTAAGTATTTGGTACATTTCATCCCCTAAATATTATCCGACCATTACCAATAACAATAGGAGTCTCCATTGGTCAGAACCCATCCTACATGCAAAATTTCGTAAAGATTGGTGTTTACAAATTATAATGGACATATAACGCGACGGATGGCTCAACGCGAGCATTCTGCTTAGCCCTTTAGTCAGCAGAGACAGAAAGGATAATTTAAATGGATATGGAGATAGAGGTCACATTTACAAAAGAGAACCTAACTATCAAGCAAGTTTGAATAGTATTCCCGCTGATGCAGATGCTGACGCCATAAATTAATATAAAGTCCACCACCTAACGCCAAACACGTAAAAATATCTGGATTTCTTAACATAGAGATTGGTGCTAAACCATACATGAAAAACAATGCTGTACATTTTCTTATTAGAATAATTTCATTTGCCGCCGCCAGTCGATCTATATACCCCTATACTCCTCAAACCAAAACAAAACAAAATGTCATTTAATCTGTGTTTGTTTTTGGTTATAGCCTCTCATCAGTCAGATTCGCTAGATCTCGTCGATTGGAAGAATACTTAATTTGCAATTTGTTGTTGTTTTTTTTGTGTGTGCAAAAATTAGAAGAAATTTCATACGGGTAGCTGCTATTAGCAAAGATAAATGTTAAAAAATTATTAATAAGAAGAATAACAAATACGCAGTAGAATAAATTTAACGACAGAGGTGAAAATGGTTGCTGTTACCGACGATGAAGGGTAAGCAAGTGAAGTGAAATGAACTGAATTATACCACCAGCCGATCCAACAAAGGAAGACGAACTGGAGATGAGGGTATATTTTTCAAGTACAAAGGCCAATGCACCTCTTCATCATCGCTGCTTTGTAATTTTCAATCACGAAGTGGTAATTTAAGGTGTTCCAATGATTGACCACAAAAGTAGGATGATGCTACGATGTTTTGTCTCGAGGTACACAAGTGTTGTTATGCAATGCTTCTAATTTTATGGAATCTCACTGCGTTCTGGCCTAGTGTCATATTCTGATAGCACTTTTTGGATTTGTTGTTAACAATTTAAATGCATAATTTGCGTTACCACCAAATCGAAGAATTGTTTGGCCTGCTGCTATCAATAAATAAATATAATCAGTTATCAGCTGGTTATTGGCGTTTCGTTTGTCGCATTACGCTTTTATATGCTGCTCTATAACAAGCGGCTAGTTTGATATACAACTCAATTACCCCACTTCCACGCTTCTTCGTTCGGGTATTGTGTTTTTATTCTCTTTGCCTCTCTTAACAAAACAACTACCTACGAAGTGGTGGTGGTAGTGACGTTGGGTGGGTGGATGGGTATGATGGATCCCAACAATTGCTTTATCACGATTAATTTGACTTCATGTATCTCTTCGAGATTCTGTATACCATTCATTGAAGCATCATATCGTATACAAAAGTCGAAGAAGAAGCATCGTATAACTGACCTTGAACTCTAAATAATGCAATAATATTCATTGCTCTCCTCCTCCTTCCCCGTTCGTCTTCCTATTACTTTCATCTGTTTGTGTCATTTTTTATTCTAATAATAATTTTTGTTTCTCTTGCTTTTCTCCTCATCTTTTGCAGTACTAAAAAAGTACCCACCTTTCATGTTATCCGAGAGGTCTACGACAGTTCCAATGCCCATCAACGTTTCGAGGCTGAACTCGATAAGGCCCTGGAGGCTAAAGTTGATTATATTATAATTGAACCACCACGGTTGGGTGATGAAACTGGCCGATGGATATCTGTGGGTAATTGTTTACACAAAACGGCTGTTGCGACCGGTTTGGCTTCATTGCTGTCCTCATTGATATGGCCCAGTCGTCCGGTAATAGCCGGACCAATATGTGCAGTATCGTTATTTTGTTCCGGCTTGTATACAGTGTCGTGGAATTATGATCCCTGCTGCCAGTACCAGGTAGTAGTATAAAATCAGAGTTTATTAATTTGTTTCATTTTATTTTTACAGATTTAAAATTCGTCCGCAAAAATAGGTCTTTTTTGATAGACAATTGTGAGGAATTATCAAATAATTGTTTATGTAGATAGAACATGTATAAATTTTTGTTAAAAAGTTCACCATGAGAAGGATATTCAAAATACCTAAAATTGGTCGGGACCCTTTTAAAAGAGGGAAATATCAATTATAAATTGTTTGCCAGGAGTTTTTGTATTCTTTGAACCAATTCGGTTAGAATCGTTATTTCAAAGCATTAGCCACTAATGGCAATATTCTGTATTTTATCATCGAAAACACTTATATGCCTAGTAAGAGCAAATCGCTTTGGATACTAAGACTAAAATATTAAAAAAAAAATCCACACCACACAATCGGCAGGAAATGCTTTATGCTATGGGAGAGGATACCTAATTTTTTTTTATTATTTATTTTCAAAGACTTGTTACCAGGCTATCTAGCCCATTTTGTATTGGTACAAGCAATCTACACAACATTGATTCTTCTGGCAAAAATACATTCAAAATTTATAATTAAATCTTAATAATTAAACTTAAACCTAAAAATTAAAATTAATATCCCAATTACACAAATAAAAACATATATATGCTTCACGAAAAGTAAACCTGATTCGTACTACTATAATAGTAGAATCTATTTACCATATATGCATCGCGTTAACCGATCAGTGAGAACTTACTCCAGACGATTCCAAATGAAACAAGTAATCCAGTACGGACGGAAAAATAATATCGTAGTCCATCATAGCCGAAAGATATGTCCTTACTTAATAATATTTGCAATGGCCCGAATAAGATAGGACGTACAGAGCGTTCAGTTTATGGATCGGACTAAAGACTTTTAATCAACCAATCACACGCTAGCTGACAGCACTTGGAGACCTGACAAAGAAACCTTGTTAACGACATACACAGCGATACTCCGGTTTGTAGTAAACTATGCGGCGCCAGTGTGGTCCGCTAACGTCTATGCAACGCCGTGGAAAAGTCTTAAATCCTGCCAGACTACACCAGATCCTTCCTTCCTGTGCGTCAACACAACAAGATGTTGTCGATACAATACCTGCTTGGATGTTATAGAAGTAGCCATCCAAATCGTTACCTAATGGATAGGCACCCATCACTTAGGCATGTCAGGAAGGATCTTCATGATCTGGAGAGAGAGGTCAAAAGGTACAAAAGGGAGGCTCTAGATAAACAGGCCTATCAAGCAGGATTTAATCGTATTCACACGGATGCAGTTGAGGAAGCAATTCGAGAATATCGTGTGCATACAATCCTCTGAGATTACCCGCGTACGATAGCTTTCCCAGCTACCTCGACAAATCAGAGTGGTCTTTGGACAATTAAGATCAGGGTGGTGTAGCCGCCACAATTCATACACGTATAGGTGGAGAGGTCGATAATATCTGCCCGACATGTGGTAATGGACCACATGACACGCTACAACTATTCAACTGACCAGCCAAAACCACTCACCCAACCCCATCTTCTCTTTGGACTCAAGCGATACAAGTCGCAGCCTTCCTGAACTTCGAGTTAGAAGCAGAACCAGATTAAGGAGAATAAGAAGAAATGCACAACAGTACAAGCTGCTACAACAACCATATTTATTCGTTTCCACGACAGAGGGGTCTACGACCCGAGTCTTACTCGGCCAACGTCTGTCACCTCAGCCCATTGTGTAAAAGCAATAGGGCTGCTACAACAACCATATTTATACTGACATTCAGTATTCTTCATTAGGGGAAAATAATGAAATAGAAGGTTTAGGTAATTTACGGGTACCGATTTTTGTCCCAAAAAATTCATTTTATATTCGGATTTAGAGTACAAGCTAAAATTTTTGAAATTTAAAGATTTCAGCAATCTTTTCCAATATTGAACTAAGTAGATTAAGCGGAAAGTGCCACCATTTATTGAACTAAGTAGATGAAGCGGAAAGTGCCACCATTTTTAAACTTCTTCAAATATATTACAATCTATAAAGAAAACCAACAATGTGATCAAACCATTTCAGGCCCTACGAGAGTTTTTGAGTTCCGGTGGGGCATTAACCTTAGGCTGTTCATTCAATTGCAATCTTTCCAATTACAAATAGAATAATTCTAATTAAAATTGAAGAAATTCGAAATATCACTACAAAAGTTTTATTCCTCTTTGGATTAATATCAGAAAAAGCGAGACAGACAAACTGCTACAACAACTCCCATTGCTTGGTATATGCCGAAATTCAATTATAATTTATATATTTAAATATTTTATTTAAGAAAAATTCTTATTTCTTTAAACAGTAAATAATTTCCCCCGTTTATTTTTTTCCACACAACAGGTTGAAAACGACGAAGAAGTTTTAAATAAACTGCCCCTAGCTGATGTCTCATCTCCTGTGATCTTGGGCTATGAGCCCAATACAAAAACCAAATATTTACATCGTAGTGTTACCCTGCTGTCGGCTGCATTTTGTGCTTGGCAAATCTGGCGTTCTTATAAGTAGTGTGATCCTAGGTCTAAACACAAAAAAACAACAACAACAATAAAAAAGAAAGCAAATGCAAAAACCAGCAGCAACAATTCAAAAAAATAATAGAAATACACCAGAAAATGAGCTCATCTCCCTCTGAAACAATAATAAGAACAACAGCAACAACAATATTTCGTCTCTGCACATTTTGTCAAAAAAAAAGAAGCGCAGCAACAAAAGCAACAACCAGCAATCCTTAATATTTTTTGTGACAAGGAAAGGTGTAAACAAAATACCACTGTTCAAAGGCCAATACCGAAATATCTCAGTTTATTTTTTTTATTTTATATACAGCAATAATTTAGTTTTTTTTATTTAAAGCAAAACATAGTGTTTTATTTTTAAATAGATTTTGTTTTCATTTTTTGCGAACCCAATAGACAGACAACAACAATTAAATAATAAACACAGAACAACAAACATGAAGTAAAAAATTATAAAACAATTAGCCAGTTGCATGGTTTGAACAATATATATTTTTTTTTTGATTTTGAAAAGAAACTACATTGTGTATTCATGCACATCAGTAACGTTTACAATTGTGGACATTTTAAATGCATTTTTATTATTATTTATATTTAAAGTTAGTAAGACATAAAATATGTTAATTATTAAATGCTAGTTATTTTAATTTTTTCGAATTTCAAATGTTTTTGTTTAGATTTTCTTACTACAGTTCTTTTGTTTTTGTTATATGTCTGTCATGTCTAAACTGTCTGCCATTGATGTCAGCTTCCAAAAAATATAAGCAATTTTGTAAAATATTAAAGGCACTCTACAGCAACCAATTTATTTTGAAGTATTTTTTTCTTTCTATTGTTTTATAAAACATTTAGAAAAAGTTGTTTATTTTGTTTTTCTTTCTCATATGTTTTCTTAGGATTTCAGCTACATGTAAATTTCCTTAAATTATTTATGAAACAAATATTGTAATTTTTAATTTATGATTTAGTATGTGTTTGAATTTGTTTGTTTTGGTCGCAATCCACCAAACAAAAAGCAAGAGTTTTCTTTTTTTTGTATCTAAAGATTTTTTTTTGAGAATAGCCTATGTTTATACTCGTTTTTTTTAGAGAAACAGCATGTTTATTTTAGGCGATTTTGTATTAGTCGTAAACGTAAAAGAAACTCACTCAAAATTGTTAATAATATGTAATATAATAAAATGAAAATAAATTAAAATAAAAACTATCTTAACAAGATAATAAAAGAGTTTTTGTTTTTTTTTGTAAAAGTCATAATGTTTTTGAAATTAAAAACCAGTAAGGAAAGTAGTAAAGTCGGACTGGGCCGACTATATGATACCCTTCACCGCATTGGCTATGTTGTACATATGTGTCCTTACAATTGCATGTCAATGTTCCCTCGAAAGAATATACTCACGTCTTTCTACAAGCTATGCTAAATTAAATTTCATTCGGGCAGATTTAGAGTCGTCTGCGTACCATGGGACAAATTTATGGAAAACGATTTATAGCAAAATTGGTACACGCTATTTGGTACGCCGCACTGTCAAAAATTTAATCTCAATCAGACACCCGTGCGATTTACATATGGAAGCTATGGCTCCATCTGCACCAATTTCAACAAAACGCAACCAATTCGATACGTTGAGCAAAATTTCGTGTTAATAGGACAAACATTAGGATTTTGGTGCATCATTTATGTAAAATCCGACGAATATATATGTATATGTCGAAGCTATATCGAAATCTGAACCGATATTCCCGAAACTTACCATACGTCATTCTAGAATCAATTCAGTACGCTATACCAATTTCGTGTAAATCAAATGATATATAGGGACTTCGGTGCACCATTTACATAAAATCGCTCATCATACTTAACTCAATTCAGTACGCTATGCAAAATTTCGTAGAAATCGAAGTATATAAAGGGACTTTTGTGCACTATTTATCTAAAATCGGACGAAAATATATATTGAAGCTATATCTACATCTGAACCGATTTTCACGAAATATAACACACATCGTTCTAGACTTAATTCATTACGCTATACCAAAATTCATGCAAATCTAACGATTTTCAGGGGCTTTGGTGCACTACTTACCTAAAATCGGACGAAAAATGTATATATGGGAGCTATATCTAAATCTGAACCGATTTTCACAAAACTTAGCACACACCATTCTAGGCTCAATACTGTAGGCTGTGCCAATTTTCGTGCAAATCGAAGGATATTGGTGGACCATTTACATAAAATCGGACGAAAATATATATGGGAGCTATATTGAAATCAGATCCGATTTTCCCAAAATTTACCACACATCGTGGAGCATTTACATAAAATCGACGAAAATATATATGGGAGCTATATCGAAAAATCGCTATATCTAAAATCGGACGAAAAATGTATATATGGGAGCTATATCTAAATCTGAACCGATTTTCACGAAACTTAGCACACACCATTCTAGGCTCAATTCTGTAGGCTGTGCCAATTTTCGTGCAAATCGAAGGATATTGGTGGACCATTTACATAAAATCGGACGAAAATATATATGGGAGCTATATTGAAATTAGATCCGATTTTCCCAAAATTTACCACACATCGTGGACCATTTACATAAAATCGGACGAAAATATATATGGGAGCTATATCGAAATCAGATCCGATTTTCCCAAAATTTACCACACATCGTTCTAGACTAAATTCAGTATGCTATACCAAATTTCGTGGAAATCGAAGAATATAAAGGGACTTTGGTGCACTATTTACCTAAAATCGGACGAAAATATATATGGAAGCTATATCTAAATCTGAAACTTACCGCTCATCATACTTGATTCAATTCAGTACGCTATGCCAAATTTCGTGGAAATCGAAGGATGTAAAGGGACTTTGGTGCACTATTTACCTAAACTCGAACGAAAATATATATTGAAGCTATATCTAAATCTGAACCGATTTTCACGAAATTTAACACACATCGTTCTAGACTTAATTCAGTACGCTATGTCAAATTTCGTGCAAATCGAGGTATATATAGGGACTCTGGTGCACCATTTACATATAATCGGACGAAAATATATATGGGAGCTTTATCGAAATCTGAACCAATTTTTCCAAAACTTACCACGGATCGTTCTAGACTAAATTCAGTAAGCTACGCCAAATTTGGTGCACTATTTACCTAAAATCGGACGAAAATATATATGGGAGCTATATCTACATCTGAACCGATTTTTCCCAATTTCCATAGGATTCGTCCTTGGGCCAAATAAATGAGCTGTGCCAAATTTCATCCAATTCCAATTGCAGCGAATTCGTTTGAAAAACGCGCTCAAGAACACCAAAATACCGAAAATTGGGGGTACCCTTATATGGGCGCTATCCGAAAAATGGAACTATATTCAGAACTCTAAATACTAAATTACAGCCAATTCGGCGGAAAAAATACGACCAAAACCCCCAAAATACTGAAAATTAGGAGGTACCGTATTGTGGGGGGTACCACAAAAGTGGACCTATATTTATAATATATTTATATTTTGTGGACACTTTTAATATCAAATAACACGAATTTCAGCGAATTCGCGCTCAAGAACCCCAAAATATCGAAAATTGGGGGGTACCCTTATATGGGAGCTGTTCCTAAACGTGGACCGATATATCTTCGAACTTGACCTGCCTGCAGACACAAGACAAACCTATGCAAAATTTCAGCACCCTATCTCAATTCCTTCAGAAGATAGCGTGATTATAACAGATGGACAGACGAACGGACATGGCTAGACCGTCATAGAATATGGGGTCGGAAATGAATATTTCGATGTGTTACAAACGGAATGACAAAATTAATATACCCTCCATACTATGGTGGAGGGTATAAAAAAGAAAATAAAAAATATACATATATATACAATTAAAAAAAAAATATTGTATAAAAAATCCAAAATACCGAACTTTTGGAGGTGTCTACAGTGCTACAGAATGAGAACCCAAATAGAGGCAAATAGTTTGAAAACGAGCCCAAAATCAGCATAAACCCAATTATAATGGATAAATATTTTTCTAAAACTCCACTCCTTTGAAAGACCTTGAAACATACTTTTTTCAGAAAAATTCAAAATATTTTATAAAATCTACAATCGAAATAAATATTTATCCAAAATTCTACTCCTTTGTTAGAGAAAGATCGTGGCAGTGGTTGAAAATCGTTAAAAAAACACCTCACTTTATATAGACATTTAATTGTTAAAAGATCCACTCTTGTGTTTTTTTTTATTAATTATTAATCAAGATATTAATCTGACTACTATTAATCGCCCGAATCAAATGCTTCGAATATTAGTATCAGTTTTCAAAATGTTTAGCATTTTTAATCTATGTTTTATGGTGTTTCTCAGTTTCACTTATGTGGTTCAATTGGCGCTGTGGTTATGTGGTTACATGTGACTTGTTGTTCTATATACACTTTATATATATGATGAGGTGATGAATAGATGTGCCATATAAGAATATGATTTTATGAGGTAACTTTAACAATTAATGAATATAATTAAAAATAAAATATTAAACAAAAAATTGCGCAACAATTTCCCTAAGTTCTCACCTTTAAGAAACCATAAATTGTTATTGTAATATTTTTTTCCACACTCACCAGATCATAGGCAGACATTTTTGACAGCCCACCTGTGTTTTAAAAAAATAATGCAAATACATTTTTAACAGCTATTTCGGAATACAACCTTTCTGCAAAAAAATCCTTGGCCTCAATTTGAAATTGTGAATTGTAACATATTCGCAAATAGACTGGCAACTCCTCCACAAACGGCTGACTAAACAAAAATGGTGACATTGTTTACCAAACAAAACAACAAAATTATCACTCTGATCTTCTCTCCAGCGGCGTTTGCCTGTGACATTTCATGTAGTATTTATGTCAACAAGGAATGTCATTCTGATTGAAAGTTGCTGTACCAAAAACACATACATACCTACATTCATACTGACGCGAGAAAGAGAGTGTAATACCG